TAAACACATGCATGAGGGAAACCCTATTATCACCCAGACTTTGTTTTGCTTTGGCTATAAAATCTCCCCCATCTCCTGTCCCATTTTGGGGCTACTGGCTTAACTAAATCCTACTGAAACATATACATGAGAGCAGGACTCATCACAACTCCGGCCTTCATGGAGGCTGCAGGCATGGAGGCAGAGCAACATTCAACTGTGCATGCCTATTACAGCTCTCACACTAAAACCACAAGTGGAACAGACAACCATGGTAATTCAATTTCCAAAGATAATTCACTTTCAACATTAAAGAAAAAAAACCAGACAAACAACCATAATCAATGAGTACTATCAAATGCCTGGCCTTTTATTAGTGAGAAAGGGAATCTTATGCTTGTTATCCTGGTCTTTAAATAGCTGAGTTGCACTTCTGAAATGTTTGTAGCCAATTCTGAGTTCAGTGATACTGCTTGTAAAAAAGACTTAACTCTGCCAAAGTCCATGTAATTATGCTAGTATAAACATAGAAGTGGATTAGAATCAAGTCTTTTCTAATTTTGGACTGACAAACTGATTTAGTAGCTGCCCATAAAGTCCCAAGTTTTTGTGAGCTTTCAATTAATACTCGTGACTTTGATATATTTTAGTAACTCTGTATTTCTTAAACTGGCTCACATTGTGTGCTGCATCATCAAAAGGCCAGGCTTAGCTTGCACTGGGTCCTGTAGAATACCAGGCATTGATTCAGTGTGAATGATCCAACATCTTGGGCAAAAGTCTGCAGGGGATTTTCACAGAGCTTCCCCACATATTATTTCTTCCACATTAATGTCAGCTACGGCTGGTTGAACTGTTCAAAATTATAAGCCTTTGTTTTCTGCTTGCAAGTTATCTAAAAACTGACTTTACCAAAGCATTCCCCAAACTGTCACACTGTCAATCTAGTCCCAGCTGACCAGCTGGAGCCTTCCTTCGGGTGCAATCGCACCTTTATTGAAAGCTCAGAAGACTAAATTATGCCCTCAACAGCTAAGCTGCTACATTACTTCCTCCCCTCCCCACCATGCACAAGGACAAACAAAATACAGCTCACTGTGCCTTAGCTGTGATGGTTCCACAAGCTTAACTGGTATTCATAGATGTTAGGGTTGCAAGGGACCTTAGTAGGTCATCGAGTTCGACCCCCTGCCCTGGGCAGGAAAGAGCACTGGGGTCAGACGACCTCAGCTAGGTGCTTGTCCAGTCTTCTCTTGAAGACCCTCAGGATAGGGGAGAGCGCCACCTCTCTTGGAAGCCCATTGGAAACCTGCATTTTTGTCTCCAATACAAGCCAATACTTTTAGTGCAGACAGAGAGCAATAAATCTCTCAGTGGGTGCATCTACATGTTCATTAACGCACCATAGTTACGGTGCATTAAGTTTAGTACTTGCATAACCCAGGACTAAATCAATGAGCTACACTGGTGCTACTGTGCAATAGCGCCAGTGCACAGCTTTTTACTGAAGCTAACTGTGCAGTAGCCTAATACTACCTAGTGTATTAGCATGAGGTTTGCCTGGCATACTACTGTGTAGCTATTGCACGGTTAGCATCTCGTGTAAAGTTGTTTCTTTTTTACTAGCTAGCTACTTTTTCATTCACTTGTCTCTTACTGTGTTCAGTATAGCCACTGGATCCGAGTGCCTGTGCACAGTTACATTTGTCCCATTCATAGTTCCTTACCTGCTCTCATTTAATTGAATACCAGCTATTAAGGGGAAAATGGTTGGAGGACAGACATATGCTCCTCACCTTGTGGATTACAATGTCTGATATTTTTGACAGAGAAGTAATTGAATCACTCATCTCCAGTTCCATTATGCTTTTACTAGGACCCCTGCCAGAGGTGCAGGTAAAGGTGCAATGGGATCTGATAAACAAACCACACAATTACACTTCCTACCATGCCTCACATGTATGGCAGGAGGTATGATTGTGGGATCAAGCATTAGATTGCATCATACCTTGCTGTTGGTGCACGGGGAGCCTGGGATCATGATCCTGCCCCTTCCATCCCCCACCCTGCACCAGCAAGTAGCAAGCTTCAATAGCTAGAAACCCCAGCATGGTGTAACCCTGTGGCTGGAAGCCTGGATCAGCTATTGGGGCTCCCAGCCACAGAGGTGCATCTGGCCACATGTTTAATTAATGGTGTAATAGGAACCAGCCACAAAGTTACATTTTTGTGGAATGACTGTGTGGCTTATTACTTATTTTATGATGCCATTCATTGCTTTAATGTGTGGCTGGGTTACAATTTAAGACGTAATTAAATGGTTAATCATATCTTAAGTGTAATGTGTGGCAGGGTCCTAAGTGTTCTCCACAATCATTTGGCTGGCATCTGTCCAAGATCTCATTTGTGAAAGGTGTGGTCATCTCTCTTTCCCTCTCTCCCCATTCACTGTCTGTGAGCTAACTGGTCAGGACAGTCTGGAAAGCTTCTGTACAAAGTAGGTGTAAAAAAAGAGAGGTCTGACTTTGGATTATGCTGTTTGCCACAACATTCAGCAAATACACAGATTCCAAAACTAATTTCCTCTGCCTGTTCTCATTTCAAGGAGAAAAAGAGTGCAAATAGCGGAGTGCACCATGTGGCAGTAGTCAGTTCACCTTTTTCTGTGCTGTGGGGTGCTACACCATAATTGCTTCTACCTGTTACTGGACTTCTCCAACTGCCCAGGTGTCATGACTGGGCTTCCCTTGCACTACACCCCAATGACCCACAAGAGCCTGGGTATGTTATTTGTGCTGCAAGCAGTATTGCAAGAGAACACTGTTGTACTAAATTTAATTAAAGGGTGAGTGAATGGCAATGAAATGATCAGTCACACTATTCTGGTCTGAAATCCTAATTTACTGAATATATAAGCAATATCAGTAACAGTCCATATAGATATTTTTATGTCAGCCTTATGATGGATACAGTGTGTTCAGCTGGCAAGGTGTCTGGGTTCAGATAGGTGTTGTTTCTTCCTTTCCTGAGTGTTGTTCTCTCTGTCCCATTTCCTCCCCCTCACCCCCCAAGTCTTTTTTCCTTAGGTTTTCATATACTTTTTTGTAGTTCTCTTCTGTAAGTTCCATATGTCATAAATATCTACAAATCAGCTTTCATAATGGCTATTCCTGGTAGATTTAGACTGCTAGCTGTGTCCTGCTGTCATGGACTGCTATGACATCCTCTTTTAACTTTTTTGCTAGCATGGGTTATACAGAGGTCACTTTAAAGTGTGGCCCACTTGCTCTGCTTTTAGCTGTGTTTAGTTAGTTATATCAAGACAAAATGGCATTACTCATGCTAAGCATTTTGCTAAGGTGTCTTTCAGGCCTACACTGTGATGCTATGGCTACTGACTCACATTTACAATGCATTTGTTTCAGCAAACTTAATGAAGCAGCGTAGGTTTTTCCACCTGATTAGTTTACCCAGACTTGGTTAGAAACATTCACTAACTCACTGAGATTTTCTCTCTCTGTAAAAGTAAACCATTTCAAATTGCAGGGGTGTAGTACATTTTAAAGCAGCTGCATCTCTGCTTCAAAAGCAAGGAACCTGATATTTTCAAAAATCTCATTTCCACATGGAAAGAATTATTTAGGAACTGTTTTACAATTATTTAAAAGCTACTGAACCAGAAAAAATGAACCTCTTTTGAACTGTCCTGGAGATTTTTGTTGTTTAAAATAATAGCTTCCAGATAGGGAGAAAAAGCCAACAAGGAAAAATACTGTCCATTCTCTGACGTTCACAGAAGTAACTGAAAAAGGTCACCAGAAACCAGCAGCTCTGGTCACTGCAGTCTAAAATTGTGTCAGCAATGCTGTTCTATACACAAGAATTTGCAGGGCACGTACAGAGAGAGTTGCATATTTGGAACCACAGGATACCATTACCCAGGCCTACAAGAGAGGATGATCCATTTGGAAAACTCAGCCTATTTCACTGTGTACCCTTGGTGAGCCCCCACCTCTGAGGGGAGGGAGGTTGTTAAGCACAGATGTGGAAGGGTGTTTAATTCTCTGATCAGTCCTCATTGCTGAGACTTTGGGCTCCAAAACCACATGCTCCTTAGCAATATAACTACAAGAAACTATCCTCAGGTCTTATTGCAGCTGGTTGAGAGATGCAATGCAATTACCTTCATATAAATGAAAGCATTCTCTAGTGTAGTTAACTAAATTTTTTACCTACTGGTAAATTTGTGGAATGTATTTTCTGCACATAGGCTCTTCCTTCAGCTTTTGCTCAGTTTCAGTCCATGTGCAGCAGACCTCTATAATCTACCAAAACAACATTATGGCTGCAAATTATCTGAATAATTTTAAATGCCTTTTTAAATGTAATCATTTTTTAATTTGAGATTTTGCAGCTTTTATTTCTATTAAGAACTTTTAATTTTTTTTTTTTAAAAATGAGCTAAAATGTTATGTACTTTTTTTCTTCTAAATAGACCAAGACTTTGACCTAAGATAAGCACTTGCTGGGAGGCAAGAGACTTTCTGTCTAGTTTATCTATGAAAAATATTCAGTTAAAATTGGGAATTTAATTCATTTAGTTATGAAAATGAAATTAGCTCAATAAGGTACATTTGATTTGTCTCTGATAAAATAACAAACTCAAAGTAGAACAAAAGTGCTGAAAAGGTGAGCTGAGTCAGTCAGTGCCTAGATTCTCCTTAACGCAGGCATATAAATTATGCCCACAATAAGCATATGCAGAGAAGAAGCTGTATGGTAGCTGGTGTAGATGCTACAGAATTTAGATTAATAGGATGTTTGTGGATCACCATCAGTCATTCCCAGTCAAGGAAAGAGTTATTACATCAAACACAGCAGAGCTCTTTTATAATTCTGCATCTTGACTAGAAAATTAAATTTCACTCAAAAAAAAAAGAGGGGTTGGGGGAGGGGAAGAAAGAAAAGAGAAAGAAAAAGAAAAGAAAACCCCACCCTCCAATTGTGCATTGGTTACCTACCATTTTTGCAAATGGGACAGCATTGATCTGGTTCATAGACTGGGTCCACACATTCAGTCTGAGGGCATGCAGACACTGTGCACAACACTTCACCATTGGCTTCACAGCGACATTTCTCACATGGGGAAACCTGAAACACAAAACCCATTTGTCTATTAGTTAGCCCATTCAGTACTCTCTTTGTGGCTATGGAACAGCTTCTTTCGGTCTTGCCCACTCTTCTGTCTCTCCTATAAGTTTCCCGTGTTTCACAGCTGCTCAAACAATCTAGGCTGCTGCAGTCTCAGCTCAGAGAGCAGCAGCCAAACTAGCCCCAGGCTCTGCTCCGAATCCATGGCCCAGATTCAGCAAAGCAGAAAGGTTCAAAGGAACAGGGACACATGAAGCTGTTGGGTAAGAGCAAAACCACATGTCACTTCAACCCTCCCTTCGTAGCTCTAAGGAGGGATGCGGGGAGGAACGGGGGTAGGGAGGAAGGGGGAGCAACAGTTCTACTTCAACCTAAAGCTGGTCTAGGGTGTGTTTGTTTGTTTGTTCATTTTTAAATACATGTATGTAATTAAAAATTGCTGTCAAAAATGAAAAAAGTTTTTCTCAGAAATTTGTTTCCCTTTTACAGATTTTTGGTCCGTGTTTGCTGTTAATAGCAGGCCAGAACCCAAGAATACTATCTTTTAAAAAACTGATGTGAGGTAAAAATATAATAATATATATATTTTTGGGGGTTAAATATAATTATTTTTTTTTCAGTGACAGACATACAAAAATTTAATTTTCACAAGAAGGCCAACGAAAAGAGAAAAACAATTTCCTGTGGAAACTGGTATTTCCCATAGCTTCTACTATTTTATATTTATAAATGCTAATATTTTGGGAGAAATTAAAATAGCATCCATGCTCTTTTGTGCCACTGAAATATGTCTGGCTTAGATGAGCTTTCTGGGATGATCATTCAGACTGTATTACTGGAACAAAAAGGTCCAATTGCTAACACTGAACTCAGTGATGAAACTGTCACCCATTTTGATACAGAAGGATCAAGCCCCTAATTAGGAACAGTTAGACCTGCACACAATTCTCATGTGCAGAGCAGATCTGGGGGGAGGCGAGGGACAGGGGTATAGTCACATCTCCCTTCTGCTACCGCTGCTACCATCTCTGGCTGAGCTCAGTAGTCCCTGTAGCTGGAGCCTACAGGCTGTCAGTGGACCCCAGGGGCCTGAGCAGGGAGTGAGAGCAGGTAGGGGAACCCTCTTCCACTGCCATCACCACCTCCAGCTGATCTGGGTATGGGGGCAAGCCCAGAGCTGCTCCTGCTTTAATCCAGCCAGGGGCTTCAGCTTTATAGTGTGCTGGACTTTGCAGAGGTTGGAATGGCAGTGGGCAGATTTCTTCCTCTTGCACCTGCTCCCTGCTGCTTACCCATCTTGTCTCCTGGCAGGGACAGTGGCAGCAGCAGGTTCCTCCTTCCAGTGCCTGTTTCTGGCCAGTGGGGAGACATGGGAATGGGGAGGGTTAGCAGGGAGCAGATGAAGGAAGACAGCATCTGCCCACCACAGCTGCTGCCCCCGTCCAAGCCTGGGTCCCTGCATAGCCACCCTTCTTTATGAGGTGAGAGGAGCAGCTCTAGGGTTTCCTCTGTGTCTGGATAAACCAGGGACAGTAGCAGCAAAGGGCAGGTCCACCCTTCCTGCAGCTGCCCCTGTCCTACACTCCGAATGTCCCTTGCTAGCCCAGGAGCTCCAATCATACCTCACCCCCATCCTCCTTCACTAAGCCCTAGATCTGCCCATACTCCGGTGATTTCTATAATGTTGTCATTATGTCTCACATTTCTGGATCTGTGGGGAGGGGGTAGGGGAAAGGAAGGGGTATATCCACATTAATAAGACATTTAATGTCCTCAATGAAGAGGAGATATGAGTAGTGCAAGATTCACTGCTGCGCTTCAAATGGCACTGGTACCCACAGGCCAAATCCAGGGAGGAGAACATGCCTGAACACCGCATACAGTGCCAGATTCCCCCAACTTGAAGATGTGGGAACTTTCTAGAAATGGACCTGAGGTTTAGAAATGTTCAAGATGTGATTAATTCTCTTCCCTCCTGTTACTTTTTAAATTTAAAGGTCCCAGCTGCTAAAAGAAACACCAATACAGTGTCAGATAGGCTGTTCTCACTGTTTTGTATAGGAACAAAATTATAGAAATCTCTTAACAATAACTGTTCTCACCAGAGAATCACTCCAGGTTTGGACAGAGTGGTGAGTGGGCAAACTCTATGACTTGTCCTTATATTGCCTTCCTCAGGTAAGCATCTCATCTGTCAGCATTTTAACACTGCCAATGCTCACACCACATGCTTGTACGCTCTTTTTGTCTGGACTGTTTTTCCTACCTTTCATTCAACCTGTCACAAGCAGTGTTACCTTCCAAGCTCACTGTTCCCTCTGCTTGAATCCCTGCCCTGACCTCTTGCTTATTTAACTTCTCCTTGACTTCAAAGGCTCATTAGAAGGCTACCAGCCGGTACTTCAATGCCCTCCTCTAACCAAATTCCTCATCTCTTCTACTCTGTTTATGCTACATGAGCAAAACAGCCTCTTCTTTTCCAGTGCATCAAACCTACCTTGCTCTCCCTCAATACAATCAATTTCTACCCAGTTACACTTCCACACCTAGCCATCTGCTTCCAGTGCTCTTCTCCATACTTTTCTAACTACAATACAAAACATACTATACATTAAAATCCTGAGATTTAACAAAGACTTACATTGTTTAGCTTTGTATAAGATCTTTGGGGCAGGGACCCCATCTTGTCATGGGGACTTACATAAGACAAACCTGCTCTGAAATTTTCACCTTACAGATAACAGCAGGAGAAAGATGTCTCAATAGTAATTTTCAGTAGGATTTCCTGATCTCTCTCACTTTATCATCTAATGTATGAAAACATGCTGTTTCTCTTTAGGATTTTATTGATTGATGCTTCCAGAAATCATGTTCTAGGGGCAGGTTCACTGAGAGACTAAAGAGGCATAACTCCATTGCATGCTGTGAACTTGAGATTATTTTTTTTAAAAGTGGTGGACTTTACATATCTCTGTGATTTAACAAGACTGGTTATTAAAATGGACATTCATCATGGAATACTCCAAAAACCACAATCAAGCAATTTCTAGCAGTGCGATGAATGACTCATTTAGACCAAAAGCTTTGGCCACAAAAGCTACCATACCACCTGTGATCCTGTGGCAGATGTGTCCAACTTCTACTGCTGTTGCTCCTTAAATCCTGGATCACTTTGTTTGCACACCAGCAGAGTCACTGCTAAAATCCTCCTATCTGTTTCTCTCCACAGCCAGAAGACCCCAGCAGTCAGTTGGTGTGTTGTCCTGTCCTGAACAAGAAGGAACTTCAGTACTTTTGGCAAAGGTTTTTCTAGCCAGCCCTGCAGTTACTGACTGCACCCCAAGTTCTTTAAATAGCACCTGCAAAGCCATGCACTTATCTCCCACAGGCATGGCAGAGCCAGCCTAATGGAGCCTACCTTCATTACCAATCCTTCAGTATTTGTAGTGACCAGATCATTACAGCACCTCAGTGCTGGACAGCACCTCAGTCCAGGATCAGTCAAACTCTCTGGCCATCAGAAGGGAACACAAAAAACCACTAGTGGACCTTCTCCCTAGCTTCCAAATGTGTTGCCTGTACAATTTCCAGGTTTCACATCCTTATATAAGGTAAACTTTGTGAAGACCTTGATTTCTCATTGCTTCTAGACCCAGTTGGTTGATCTGCCACAACCGGCATTTCCTTTCAGCAGGCAGGAAACAACTTCCTCATCAATGCTAATGTCACATATTAGCCCACTGCCTGGGCAGCAGAATTTATGAGTCACAGGAAGTTGCTGTACACCAGAGTATGGTGAAGATGGCACAAAACTCTTGCTGGGTGCCAGCTGATATAGGGCCTTAACTTTTGGTAAACTCCTTAAAGCCATCTGCAGTGAACCCAAAACCATCTGTGGCTGCCACTCAGCCGGCAATCAACACCTGGAAGTCCCATTTGGAATATACCACTAATACAGAGTCATCTGCAAAGAACAACTTATGGAGCAGCTGAATGGTGACATTTATACTGCTTGCAACCTCACAAGATTGAACAGTGATCCCAAGGTGCAGAAATTCACAACCACACTGACTGGAATGTTATCAAATGACACTTCCACATGTGCTACAAAGGACAACATGCATGGAAATGGCCTAAGTGCACAACCTTGCTTCACTCCAAGTGGAGCTAGAGATAAGGCACAGATAAATTACTGCTAGTCTTCATTCTGCCCTGCATTCCCTCACAGAGCTCAAGCATGACCAACAAAAACTTTTCAGAACACCAGAACCTACATTAATAGGCTTCAGAGATTGAAACAACTGATCCTAAAAAAAGGCTTTTTGGATTTTAATGAAAGCCATATAAAAATGGTTGCTCATTGTTTTGGGTAGCATTATACACTTTTTCAGGTCACAGAGGAAAAAAAAAACCTAGGCACAGCAGAGTTAAATACCAGACAGAATAAAGGCTTGCACAAAACTCCATATGTACATTTTTTATTTACACAAATATCCTTACCCTCTTGCATTTTTTCTGGATCATCAGAGCTATAGCATCAACCTAACACTATTCTACTCACAAAAAAAACCTTATTTCTACCGCCCCTTGACTCACTCTAAAGCTTCACTGAGACTCTGGGAGCTTGATTCATAGCAGGTGTAAGAGAAGTCAGCTAAGTAGTATTCAGGTCAGTATTTTACTAACAGGTGCTAACAAGGAGATCTCTCTATTCATCCCCCTTTTCCCTCACAGATCTTTTCATGATGTATGTTTTGATTCTTGAGAGAGAACTCCCTCTTCCCTAATTTGGCAGAAGAGGTTGTGTAAACTCTCAGTCACAGCTATACATCCTATTGGCATACCATCAGAACCCGGAGCTTTGCCACTTTTCAACCTCTGCACAGCGTCCAGGACTTCTGGCAGAGCAAGTTCATAGCCTAAATACATTAATTTTATCTTGTCTTGTGCTGATCAGCACATCAGCAACAACATTAAAGGGAGCATGCAACAAGTCTGTT